TGCAGGAAGACATCGTATGGAAACTTTGATTATTTTGAATATGTGGCCCTTCGGCTGAAATGCTCCTCTCGAGCTCTGTTCCTAAATATCTATAGACCACCCAAATACTGTGCAAGCTTTTTTGATGACTTTACTGAACTGCTGTCTATAGTGTGTATTGACTTTGACCGTCTAGTCATTGTTGGTGATTTTAACATCCATGTTGACAACCCCCAGGACAGAGGGGCTAAAGAACTGTTTTGTGTTCTTGATAGCTATGGACTGACTCAGCATGTGACGGAGCCCACGCACAATAAGGGGCACACTCTGGACTTAATTATCTCAAAGGGTCTGAATATCTCTAAGGTTGTGGTGACTGATGTTGCACTCTCTGACCATTCCTGTGTTTTCTTTGAGAGCTCTATTTCTGTTCACAAAAATGTTCAAAAAGAGGTAACCACAAAGCGATGTTTAACTGAAAATACTAGGGAAATGTTTACTCAGAATTTCTCTTCCACACTTGCCCCTGCCAACATCTCAGTAAATGAGCTAGTAGATCATTTTAATTCAAAAATTAAAAATGTTATAGATGCCATTGCTCCAACTAGGTTAAAGGACGTGTCTGGCAAGAAAATATCTCCATGGAGAAAGGCCATGACCGTGAAAACAGAAAAAAGAGAATGTCGAAAAGCTGAACGCAGGTGGCGAAAAACAAAACTCCAGGTTCACTTTGAAATCTATAAAGAGAGACTTGGCCTTTATAATTTGGAATTGAAAAACGCACGACAATCGTTCTTCTCTGACATCATTACCAAAAACAAAAACAACGCACGTGCCTTGTTTGCTACCGTCGACAGACTAACTAACCCCCCAGTGTCAGTAGCCTCTGAATTTCTATCCACCAGGGCGTGCAATGATTTTGCCTTTTTCACTGACAAAATTCAGAAAATCAGACAAGCAGTCAGTGCCTCTGCATCAGGAACAGCAAATGTGTTGTCCCTATCTCCACTTAACATCAATTCAGACATCATGACACAATTCCATCAGATTAATGATAAAAACCTAGAGGACATTATTCAACTTCTGAAATCCTCCTCCTGCTGCCTTGATATTATTCCAACAGGATTTTTCAAAGATGTGTTTCCTTGCATGGCCTCAGATCTACTTCATATAGTAAACAAATCTCTTCACTCAGGTATTTTTCCACAGGCCCTGAAAACTGCAGTCATTAAACCGCTCTTAAAAAAGAATAATCTAGATGCTTCAGTAATGAACAATTACAGGCCCATATCAAACCTGCCATTTCTAGGTAAAATCATTGAAAAAGTTGTTTTTCAACAGTTGAGTAATTTCTTGTATTTAAATAACTGTTTCGATGTGTTCCAGTCAAGCTTTCGTCCAAACCACAGCACTGAGACTGCTCTTGTAAAGGTCTTTAATGACATCCACTTAAACACAGACAGTGGCAGAACTTCAGTGTTAGTATTATTAGATCTCAGTGCTGCGTTTGACACTGTTGACCACAGCATATTACTAGACCGACTGGAAAATTGGGTGGGACTTTCGGAAACAGTTCTAAATTGGTTTGAATCCTACTTAAAGGACAGAAACAACTTTGTTTCTATAGGTAAATACACATCTGAGTTGACAAATATGACATGTGGGGTACCTCAAGGCTCCATCTTGGGGCCTCTTCTCTTTAACATCTACATGCTACCACTGGCTCAGATAATGAAGAACAACAAAATAAGTTACCATAGCTATGCAGATGACACACAAATTTACATAACAATTTCACCAGGAGACTATGCTCCAATTCAAACACTGAGTAAGTGCATTGAACAAATCAATGACTGGATGTGTCAGAACTTTCTCCAATTAAACAAAGATAAAACTGAGGTAATGGTTTTTGGAGCCAAGTCAGAACGTATAAAAGCTAGCGCTGAGCTTCAGTGTGCAATGTTCAAAACAACAGATGAAGCCAGAAATCTAGGTGTAGTCATGGACTCTGACCTGAGTTTCAACAGTCACATTAAAACTGTTACTAAATCAGCCTACTATCACCTAAAGAATATATCTAGGATTAAAAGACTAATGTCACAGCAGGATTTGGAAAAACTTGTCCATGTTTTTATCTTCAGTAGACTGGACTACTGCAATGGTGTCTTCACAGGTCTCACTAAAAAATCTATTAGAAAGCTGCAGCTGATTCAGAACGCTGCTGCTCGAGTCCTCACTAACACTAAGAAAGTGGATCTCATCACTCCTGTTCTGAAGTCTTTACACTGGCTTCCTGTGTGTCAAAGAATAGATTTCAAAATACTGCTGCTGGTTTATAAAGCACTGAATGGTTTAGGCCCAAAATACATTTCTGACCTCCTGCTAAATTATGAACCATCCAGATCTCTCAGGTCTTCAGGCACTGGTCAGCTTTCTGTCCCCAGAGTCAGAACTAAACATGGAGAAGCAGCGTTCAGTTATTATGCTCCAAATATCTGGAACAAACTCCCAGAAACCTGCAGGTCCGCTGCAACTCTGACTACTTTTAAATCCAGGCTGAAGACTTTTCTTTTTGTCGCTGCTTTTAATTGAACTATTCATATCTTAGACTGCACTGTAACTTTTATCCATGTACTTTTTTCTTGTAATGTTTAATTGACTGCCATGTATTTTTTCTATTAATGTTTATTAGCTTTTATTTTTAATGACTGATTTTAAATGCCATTTTCTTAATCTCTTTCATTTTTTGTAAAGCACTTTGAATTGCCTTGTGTTGAAAAGTTCTATATAAATAAACTTGCCTTGTGTGTGTGTGTGTGTGTGTGTGTGTGTGTGTGTGTGTGTGTGTGTGTGTGTGTGTGTGTGTGTGTGTGTGTGTGTGTGTGTGTGTGTGTGTGTGTGTGTGTGTGTGTGTGTGTGTGTGTGTGTGTGTGTGTGTGTGTGTGTGTGTGTGTGTGTGTGTGTGTGTGTGTGTGTGTGTGTGTGTGTGTGGCGGACAGACAGACAGGTCTCAGTTGGTTTGGTGTCCTCTGCTTACTTTTAATACTTGTAAATAAAAGTTTTGGCCCGTAATTTCATTTCTTCATTGTAGCGACCAGAGGGGGGGGGGGGATATATCCAGTCTCTGATTGTGTTAAGTTATTATGAGAGTGCTCTCATACTTGTTTGAATATGAAATGTTATATATTTATATAAATATATATATATGTGTGTGTGTCCGCATCTGCAGCCTGTTATTGTCTCATTATACCGCACTGTGAATGAATCAAAGTATATATATAAGTCATCATAAATGAACACATCTGTCCATCAGACAGAAGGCTGCTGTGCCTCCTGTCATCATTAATGGACGTCTCTTTAAAATGACCGCTCAGAGGAGAGGAGTTCTCATTTATCTAACCGCCTGCTGCTTCCCCTCCTCTCCCCTCGGTTCCCCTCCTCGACACCTCCGCTCGCATCTCCTGTGGGCGGGACTAAGTATCGAGGATAGGAGTCGAGGATAGGAGTCGGGGAGGGGAGTTAGTGAAATGAGCCACGGAGGAAAACATTTCAAAATAAAAAGATGGAAAACCGGGGCCCTTTCTCATTTCTCTAAATATCGACTCTTTGTTTGTAGATATCTACTAAACTAAAGCAAATAAAGAGAGTAGGCCTGTTATACTGAGTGATATATATTTTACACACTGCTCTGCTTTCTACATGGACCTCACAGCTGTTCTCTCTGTAAACATCGCGTCGCGATGAGAACAGTTACTACAATAATATCCAGGGGATGCATGCAGAGCTGTCATTGGCTGAGATAAGTCCGGCCGTGCGTCACGACGCTTTGAAACATCTCTGTTCCCGGAAATGCATCCACGAAGGAGCCGTGGAGGACCGTGGAGGACCGTGGAGGACCCATCAGTGTATCCTCGGTTAGAGGTCCTCCAGAGAGCCTCCTCGACGCTCGATCCTCGGTCCTCTCAGTGCATTTAGAGAAATGAGATGTCCTTCAACATGGCGTGCTGAAATTCATTTCCGGGTCACTACCGGAGGACCGAGGAGTCGAGGAGTCGAGGAGTCGAGGAGTCGAGGAGGGGAAATTAGTTAAATGAGAAAGGGCCCATGACAAGTAGGACTTAGATGAGGGTGTTGCACTTTTCCTTGCACATGAGTTGTTTTTTAGTTTTGTTTCTTTCCGTTAACTGTCAAGTGGGAACTAAGTATTTTTGTTAGTACGTTTTTGTGTTTCTCTTATTATCCTACGATACTGTTATGTGTGGGGAAGGTAAGGGAAAGGGGCAGGTAATATACGAGTATTTTCTTCTCCCTGCTCCTTTTCGGTCAATGGTGTGTTTATAAAGACATGTTTTGTAAATATTTGTTATATATTAACTGTCTTGGTGTTGCCAGGCACGGATCTGGGTCTTTGCATTGACTCTACATGTAATCACACAAAACTCTGTTATATCTGCTAATGCTAAACACAACCAGCTCACCAGGTCATCACTATTATTAAGAAACATCTTTAAAATACATCACACATCATAAACATGCCCAAATAGTAAATAATGTTTTGGACGATATATTATATATATTTTTAGTGAGTATTTATCAATATCTTTGCCATTTAAAACCATGTTATGCCACTTGTTGAATTATGAATTGTAATATATGAATTTGTTTATGTAATACTCTTATACTAATCACTTCCTGTGTTCCCGTGATAAAAGGGACATGCGCAATAAAATGAGTCACTTCCGGTTGAAGCAAAGCCGACGGTGTATGTGTGTATTTATTCCTCTGTCACGTTAAACTGTTCACGGTATTCCTGCCCTAAGATCATGGCATCGTTAACACCACTGATACAATGATGCTATAAATGCATATTGAAATATCCTTAAATAACCTTAGCTTGCTGTACTCTGCTGCCTTTGTTCTGTACTATACTGCACACATGATATTATTAAAGAACAGTTTAATATATTAGATAACATAAAAACTGAATCCTCTTCAGGTCAGGTTACAGCAGAAACTCTTACTTTGTGTCTGAGGGTCCAGGTTCATTACTGAAGTCTGGAGGTTTATCTTTAGACCAATCACTCTTCAGAGACAGACAGCTGGGGACTGGAGACTCTGCTCTCTGTCTGTGGAAACAACACATGTTTTAAACATCATTAGTTCATTCAGAGAGCAGTTTTTGACTTCTGTCTGTATGTAGATTATTTTCTATCGCTGATGACGCCAGGGATCAAGAGATTAAACTTTGTTACTGTACTGTTACTAAGTTTCTTTACTCTGATCACTAAAGAACAGGTTAGATTATCAGATAACATAAACACTGGATCCTCTTCAGGGGCGGTGGTGGCGATAGGGACTTGGCTTGGCAACTGGAAGGTCACCAGTTCAAGTCCCGGCAAGACCAAGTGCTACCGAGGTGTCCCTGAGCAAGGCACCGTTCCCTACACTGCTCCCCGGGCGCCGTACATAATGGCAGCCCACTGCTCCTAACACAGGATGGGTCAAATGCAAAGAAACAATTTCCCCACGAGGGATTAATAAAAGTCCATCTTATTTTAGGTCAGGTTACAGCAGAAACTCTTACTTTGTGTCTGAGGGTCCAGGTTCATTACTGAAGTTTAGAGGTCTTCTTTTAGACCAGTCACTCTTCAGAGACAGACAGCTGGAGACTGAAGATGTGTCCTCTTCCTCATCTTTTAAATCACTCATCTTCTCCAGTCTGAGATAAACCACTAAAACTGGAGACACACACACACACACATTATAATAAACACACTTGTTTCAATCGTAACCATCATAATAATAAACTTGTGTTATGATATTAGGGTCATGCAGAGTCAGGCAGCTGTCCCTTTAAGAGAGAGAGGGGGGGGGCGCGTGCATGTGTGTGTGCAGCTTGAGCAGCTGTCAACTCAACATTGTAAATAACCAACCAAAAACGATCGCAGGTTCATCTTGTTTTGGCGTGAGAATAGTTTGGGCAACGTGAGAGCGTGAGATTGAGAGTGAAAGCGTGTGTCACACGCCAGATGCGTGAGAGTTGGCAACCCTGAACTGTTACATACAGTTACGGCATTTCCTGTTTCTGCCTGAGAGAGGGGAGTTTGTCCCAAAGCTTGCCGCTGTATTTACTCCCTCCATCTGACAGGAGGGAGTCTCGTTGAGCTGCGAGTGTCACTCTGCCACGGAGTGGGTAGGGTGTGGTTTGGAATTGGGCCAAAGTGTTGTGATGAGGCCCTCTGTGTCGCAAACGTCGTCGTCGAGGCGCTAGTGGAGCACGCCGTGAACTGCGCCTAATTGCGGCGCATTTGCGATTGAGATGAGGCTCCCTCCGCGAGGTGAGGCGAGGCCCCACGCGGTCTGCGTGATCTGCGTGTAGGGTAGGGAGGGGCGGGCCTAGCTAGAATACATCAAATCAGTCAGACTTCAGACAGGCCGCTCTCCATTTTGACTGCACTGGGCTGTCGCATGTTATGTTGCTTTGATGAGTCAGAAAACAGGAAATACAAAACGTTTACACCACTTGTAGAAGTCTCATTGGACTCGAGGACACTGATGTTCTGACATCCAGTAAAACAGAGTAAATAATGTGTTAAAAAGCAGACCCTGGTGTTAACACTCACCCTGTTGTCCTCCTGCACCTCGAGCTGTAAAATGGTGTCTGGCAGTCTGACAAATCTGACTTCATACTTTCACTTTCAACTTCCCTCCCTGTCTGCAGCTCCTCTTGATTCATAACCAGCCTTCAGCTGAACCAGTTCACAGTCATACAGGGACTATGTTCAGTGAGATAGAAATAGAGCTAAACACATGCTCAAAGTAGTTATTGAAATAAACATATTAAAACCACAGTGTGAAAATCACCCAGTATAATATACACCCACAACATCCTGCATTCAAAACCTTACTTTAGTTAAAGTGTGTAGATAGTTAAGTACTCTAGTGGTAATGGTGCATTAATTTGTTCCCTATTATATATATATATATATATATATATATATATATATATATATATATATATATATATATATATATTTATATATATATATATTTATATATATATATATTATATATATATATATATAGATCTGTGTGTCTGTGAGTTGTTTGGACTGGTATCCAAGGTGACGCTACAGTAGTTGTCTGCAGGTGGAGACTCCGGTGCTAGTGGATCGCCGGAGCTGTAGATTAACATTTACATGCTTATTGTAGTTGTAAGGGCAATGCCTGTAGCACCATGGAGCATATGTGTGGGCTGGACCTGTATTTTACAGGAAAGGAGTGAGCAGAGGGTGGAGTTGTCGATTCTTGTTCAGTTTTCATCTTCCTCACTCTCACTTTGAGTTGTGCGTGCTGCTAAAGAGACGCGCTACCATGGAAACCAAACAATGGTGTAGCTGTATTAAAGTCAGAGTGGAAACAGTCGTGAGTAAATCTGATTTTGTCAGAAATCGGGAGAAATGCGGGAGTCTCCCGCGAAAATCGGGAGGGTTGGCAAGTATGACACACACACACAATGTTCGTATTTAGTCTCCTGATTTTAAATGGGAATTCAATCATTTGAGTGTTCCCAAAGCACCAGTGTTCTGCAGTTTGTGTGGGCCTACTGTACTGTTGCACAGGAAGATTCATAGCTAACCACACTGAAGATTATGGATTATCTCATATTTTTAAAACCTCAATTTGTCCCCCCCCCCCTAACATCACCAGAAGTCATAATTTAAGGGGTAATTTCTCAAAAAAGTATTCCGGGGGAGGATCCCCCCGGACCGCCCTAGTATGGTTTTGTCACCATTTCCATAGCCCCACCAAAAATATTTTCCACCAGCCGCCACTGCTGTAATGCTAACGATGGCTTCAGTATCTATAGTATCTAAATCTAGATCTATAAGGTATCCCAAACCCAAAATACACAACAAAGTTTTACTCTAATTCTAGGTTGGATTAGGGTATTGGTTTAGCAAACTCTAAAAGTAAAGGATATAGAAATATTCAACATTCTATACTATGTCGTTTTTTTAAATATTAGACGTAGGCCTACTATACTCTGTAGTTTATGACACATCAACAAGGACAGATATGAATACATGATTTAGATTCCTTGACATTTCAGAAAAAATTCAGAAAATTCCAAGAAAAAAAGTGAGTTGGTATTCGGATCAGGGGGTCACAGGTTCAAACCCCACTGCAGTCAGCATGTCGTTGTGTCCCTGGGCAAGACACTTCACCCCAAATTGCTCCTGTGGGGATTGCCCACAGTATTGAGTATGTAAGTCGCTTTGGATAAAAGCGTCTAACAAGTGACATGTAATGTAATGTAATGTAATGTCTCCGTCTTCTGCGACAGTTCGCGCCATTTCCAAGCTGGAGGTAAACAACAATGGCGGCGCCCATCAACCCGCAGCAGCCGCCGCCGGGTCAGTGAAAACACCCAAATTCTCGGGTAAGGCAGACTGGGAGGCTTTCCATGCCCAATTTGAACTGCTTGCTCATGCCGGGGGGTGGTCAGTAGAGACTAAAGCACTACAGCTAGCTTTGTGCCTCACAGAAGAGGCTCTTTCATGTCTGCTATTACTTAGCCCTGTGGACCGACTCAGCTATGGAGCGTTAGCGGAAGCTTTGAAGAGGCGGTTTGGACAGTGTTTCCCGCCAGAGCTGCTCCGGAACGAGTTGAGTAACCGCTGTAGAGAGTTTGGAGAGACGCTGCGTGCACTGGCTAACAACGTGGAGAGCCTGACGCGGCGGGCGTATGCACACATGCCACCCGGAGTACAGAGTGAGCTGGCACGTGATCAGTTCATCAGGGCCCTCCGGCCTGCGGACTTGAGGGTCGAGGTACAGCTGCAGCATCCACAGTCCTTACAGGCGGCCTTGGAGATGGCTGTGGAGAGGGAGAACGTGTGGAGTGGAGCTGCTAGGAGCGGCGGAGTGCCGGCGGCGCCGGCGGTGAGGAGCTGCAGGGAGGAGGAGAAGCCTGCATGGGTTACCGAGCTGACAGAGATGATAAGGGCTGTTTCTCTGCAGCCAACACACAGACCAGACACCAGAGTCTGCTGGGAGGGTGGTCAGCCAGGACATTTTGCCAGAGACTGCACCAAGGCTCGGCGACGCCAGGGAAACGACGGGGGGGCCCGCATAGAGGAGGATATGTGGAACCAAGCCCGAAGACTCCCCAAACAAACCACAGCTTTATTGCCACCGACTCAGACATCCGCGGAGGGAGCCCGACAGCACAGCAGGGGGAGCCAGACTCTACGCCCTCCTGAAAAAGATGACAGCACCGGAGTGGAGCCTGTCGTCGCGGTGGGCCGTGCTGGTGGGGACTCCTGCTATGTCCCTGTCGAGGTGGAGGGGGTGCCCTGCGATGCACTGGTGGACACAGGCTCTACAGTAACCCTGGTGAGAGCAGAGGTGTTGCCCAGTGGGACTATGTTCGAGCCGACAGCGCACAGTCACCGGAGAGTTGGCGGCTATGAAAGGAAGAGGAGTGCTGTCTGTGTCGGTGGGGGGAGTGGAAGTGCGGCATCCCGTGTGGATAGCGGATGTACAGGACCCGTGCATTCTGGGTTTGGACTTTCTGAAGGCGACGGGCTGCCTCCTGGATCTTCAAGCCGGCACAGTGAGTTTCGGGGGGGGGCCTGTAATTACTATGACCCGTGTCCACAACCCTGCTGAGCCTGCGGGGAGACCCCGACACCCACCGTGAGTACCCTAGACACGGAAGCAAACCCTCCCTCCCTTCCTGTACCCACGGTGACGCCCACTCAGGACAATTCCCCACCTGTCACCCCCGGGCTGCGCCACCCGAGCACAGCCCCCCCCCAAGTACCCCAGACGGAGGTAGAAGAGGCTCGGTCTGCAGTATTGGAGGTGTGGAGGAAGAACTGTGGCGGCCTGAATCCCGAGCAGCAGGAGCAATTGGGGCAGCTCCTGCTAGAGTTCCAGAGCAGTTTCGCCATGAAGGAGGAGGAGGTGTGCCGAACGCATCTGGTGGAACACGAGATCGATACGGGGGACTCGCGGCCCATCAGGTGTCGCCCGCGGCGACTCCCCCTGGCTCGTCAGCAGGCTTGTAACGAGGCAGTGCAGAGCATGCTGCAGGCAGACATCATCGAGCCCTCAGACAGCCCGTGGGCAGCACCGGTAGTCATGGTCCCGAAGAAGACAGGGGGCTGGCGGCTGTGCTCAGACTACAGTGAACGGGGTGACCAAGAAGGATTCATACCCCCTTCCCCGCATCGATGAGTCCCTGGACCTGGTCGCAGGGTCATCGTGGTTCTCTTCCTTGGACCTCCGCAGCGGGTATTACCAAGTCCCTCTTGCCCCGGTGGCCAGACCAAAAACGGCTTTCTGCACCGGCCGAGGACTATGGCAGTTCAAGGTCCTCAGTTTTGGGCTGTGTAATGCCCCGGCCACCTTCGTGCGGTTGATGGACAGGGTGCTGTCTGGGATTCCCCGCCAACAGTGTTTGGTTTACCTGGACGACATCCTGGTGCATGGCAGCTCGTTTGAGGCGGCCCTAGGATCGCTAAAAGTGGTGCTGGAGAGGATCAGAGCCGCTGGGTTGAAGCTACATCCAGATAAGTGCCATTTCCTACAGAGAGAGGTCACCTTCCTGGGCCACAAAGTGGGGGGGGAGGGCATCGGCACCCTGCACGAGAAAGTGCAGGCGGTCACAGGCTGGCCAAATCCTCGCAACCAGAAACAGCTGAAGAGTTTCCTGGGCCTGGCCTCGTACTACAGGAAGTTTGTACGGGGTTTTGCCTGCATTGCCGCACCCCTGTTCCAGCTGCTGCAGAAGGACAGGGAGTTCCTGTGGTCTGAACAATGTCAAGCAGCGTTTGACGGCCTTCGGCGTGCCCTGAGCGAAGCCCCGGTTCTCGTCCCAGCCAACCCCCGGCTGCCGTTCACCCTGGACACCGACGCTAGCGGCGTTGGGGTAGGCGGAGTGCTATCCCAGACTACACCAGAGGGGGAGCGGGTGGTGGCATACTTCAGCCGGGCGTTCAACAAAGTGGAGCGACGATACTGCGTTACCCGCAGAGAACTTTTGGCAGTGGTGCTGTCCATCAAGCACTTTAAGTACTACCTGTGCGGGCAAGCGTTCACGGTGAGGACGGATCACTCTGCATTACAGTGGCTCATGACGTTCAAAGAGCCAGAAGGGCAGGTCGCCAGGTGGCTAGAAGAGCTCCAATCGTTCGACTTCAGGGTGGAGCACCGGGCTGGGGTGCGCCACACCAATGCAGACGCCCTCTCCCGGCGGCCGTGTGCCGCCGGCGGATGCCACTACTGCGAGAAGAGAGAGACTCGCGAAAAGGAGCTGCTGGAGGAGGACATCGTCTGTGCGGCAGCGCAGCAAGTGGAGGAGGCTATCTGCAGGGAGCTCCAGACAGTGGATGCGTCAGAGTGGAAGCAACAGCAAGAGCTGGATGCCGTTCTTCAGCCTGTACTGCAGTGGGTTGAGTCGCAGCAGCGGCCACCGTGGGAGGAAGTGGCAGTGCTCTCCAAAGCAACAAAGGGGCTGTGGTCTCAGTTTGAGTCTCTACGTCTGTGTCAGGGCGTACTGCAGCGGGCGTGGAAGGAGCCAGCAACGGGGGAGAAGAGGTGGCAAGTGGTCGTTCCTAGGGTCCTGCAAGAGGTCGTACTCAAGGCCATGCATGGCACGGCAGGCTCTGGTCACTTTGGAGTCACTAAGACTCTCCGGCACCTTCGTCAGGGCTGCTACTGGGGACAGTGCAGGAGGAATGTCGAAGACTTCTGTCGCCGCTGTGATCCGTGTACGGCACGGAAGGGCCCCCTGGGGCGTTCCCATGCTCTGCTGCAACAATCTCCCGTCGGGGACCCGATGGAGAGAGTAGCGGTTGATGTGGTGGGGCCGCTACCCTTGTCAAACAGGGGTAACCGCTACGTTTTCACGGCCATAGACTACTTCACAAAGTGGACAGAGGCGTATGCGCTCCCTGACCAAGAAGCAGAGACAGTCGCGGATGCCTTGGTGTCCGGCATGTTCAGCCGGTTTGGAGTACCGGAGACCCTGCACAGTGACCAGGGGAGGAATTTCGAGTCCCGGGTGTTCGCCTCCATGTGCTCTCAACTGGGCATTCACAAAACACGCACCTCCCCCCTGCGACCACAGAGCGACGGACTAGTAGAGAGATTTCATCGCCCCATGGGACAGCAGCTGGCCATCCTCACGTCGCGGCATCAGCGCGACTGGGATGAGCATCTGCCCCTGGTGCTCATGGCATGTCGGTCTGCAGTCCAGGAGTCATCAGCCTGTTCGCCGGCCCTCCTCATGCTGGGGAGAGAGCTTCGAACCCCTGCGGTGTTGGCGTTTGGTCGGACACCAGATTCCCTGGACACGCCTCCTGGTCCTGAGTACGCAAGGAGGCTGCAGGACCGGCTTGAGTCCGCTCATGCCTTTGCCCGCGAGCAGCAGAAAAGTGCTGCGGTGAGACAGAAGCGGAACTACGACATCAGGACCAGAGGGCAGCATTTCCGGGCCGAGGAACTGGTTTGGGTCTACAGCCCACAACGAACGAAAGGCCGGTGCCCAAAGTTGGACAGTCAGTGGGTGGGTCCTTGCCGAGTACTGGAGAGGGTGGGGGAAGTGGTCTACAGGGTGCAGCTGCCACCAAAGGGGAGAAAAGTGGTGCTCCACAGAGACAGGCTGGCTCCGTACAGAGGCGTCGCTTCCCCACAGACCGAAGGAACCTCGGGACACACAGACGTCCCATCGACATCCCTTCGCAGACACCCCGGCGGACAGAGCAGCAGTCCCCCATCAAGGACTGAGAGTCCCCCCAGTCCTTCGGCGCCTGGGCCAGATCTGGCAACCCCAGCCCCCCTGCCGAGAAGGCAGACATGACCCCCGGGTCGTTTCAGAGACTTTGTGTGGTAGTAAGGTTATAGTGAGACCCCCCAGTTCCTGTAGAGGGCAAGAATGCGCCCTGGTCTCACTGGAAGGGATGGTAGTCCACCCAGCTCTTCCTAGTCAAAGTGCAGTGTGTAGGTGTAGTGTGGGGCTGTGTTTAGTTGTTCCTCGTAGGCGAGGAATTTTGTAGTGGGGGGGTAGACACTATAGAGGGCTGGGATTGTGGTGGGTTTTCTGTGTTTTCAAAGGCTACTGGTTTGGTTGGGGACAGCCAGTGGGGTAGTCCCTGCAGTGAGCTGGAGAGGGTGGGGGGAGTGTTTTGTACTGTGTTTTATATGTTCCTCGTGGGCGAGGAATTTTGTAGTGGGCGGGTAGTGTAGCGATCCTGATAGGCTACTCAGGGTGTCACTTAGGCATCCCCCGTCTCTCTGCCAATCATAGAGCTGCACCGTGATGGTGGCTGAGGTGCGGGCCTGTGGTTGGTGGAGCGGACGGGGGAGGGCGGGGAGTTGTGACGTGGACAGTGCTATATCTTGTGGTTGGTTTAGGAAATAAGTGGAGTGTGCGGTAGAACCCACGAAGTGTACTTGACCTGTTATCATCTGTCTTCAAATACGAGTTATTAAAGCCTAATAACTACAAGCCTGTCTCCGACTCATCTTGGGAATGTTACAGTATGTTGAAAATATCAGACAAAAACGACTTAGTATAGTATCGTGAATAAATACTCTCAGTATTGTATGTCGAACATTTTTCGTAATAGTGTGAAAAAAAAGAAAACAAGTCATAGTAGCCTACAGTATGTCTAAAATATCAGAAAAAACAAATAGTGTTGCGTGTCGATACAATTTGAAAAAATGTCGGAGTACAGTATTTACAAAAAAGTCATAGTATATTATGTCGAAAAACTAGGAAAGAAACACAAAACAAAAGTCAATCATCTTCCGTAATTAACTCTATTTAAATGAGACGTACTTTATTATTCTCATGCTGCGTTCAGATTGGACGCGATGCGATGTTTGGGGGCGGCGCGATTACATGTAAAGTCAATGCAGAGACGCGGACAGACGCGAATTCGCTCCGACGGCGAGCATGAAGCGGTGGACGAGCCGCGAATCACGCGATTGAACTCTGCCGCGTCAAACGCGAGAGTTCAATTTGTTCAACTCGAGCGTCAAATTCACGTTACGCGTTCTCGCGGAAGCCAATCAGTGGTGAGGATCTCAGCCTGCCGTTACTGACGTTCAACCAGAAAACATCAGCCATTAGCTGTTAGCAGTTAGCACTCAGAGATCACAGCTCCTCATATCTGTTCAGAAACTTTACAGAAGTTAAACAAGTACAAACCACAGACTGCCTGTGTCATGGCGACTACAGTCGCTGGTTTATTTATGTCTGTAGGCCGTTGTTATGAGTGTGGAGTGAGCATATACAACGTTAGCTTAGCCAAGCTCCATTCAGAAAACACGCATTTTAAAAGGGTTTTTCGCCTGCCGTCTGTCTGCAGACTTGTCAAAGCATTAATTCATGGTTTTTACTAACCGGTATCAGTATGTTGACTTGTTACGTCGGCATCATTTAGAAACGTGTATTACAAATTAATCACGGTAAAATATGTTCATTTTATTGTAGTTAGCTCCCGAGCCAGCGCGTCTTGTTTGAATGATGCGAGTAAACACAGCTGGCAGCCGCGGTGAAACTCGAGCGATTAGAGCGAAGCGAATATTCGCATCGCGTCCGGTGTGAACGCAGCATAAGATGCTATATTTAATGTTGACATGTCAGAGTCTTGCTGATTAAATGTTGATGTTGTGTTTGTTTGCAATGCTAAAATAATATGTATTACAATAAACACACAAAACAGATCTGTGTACTTGTACATATTGTACTGGTATGGCGTCAAACAGGTGGATATTCATCATCATCATCATCATCATCATCATCCTCATCATATTGTAAAATGAATGTTTTTTCATTTAAATCTTCAGAAACACCACAGTCTTCCTGAGTTTTGTGTTTTGTTTTAAGGTAAACATCTAATAGTGAATAGAGTTCATGAAGCTGTTGAGTCTGCAATAAAGTAATCCTTCACAAAACCAATAAACACACAGCAGAGTTTATTCCTCAGGATGTACAGTTGTCATGCAGGTTTAATAACTGCTCAGTTTATATTAATCAGGGGGGAGGGAGGGTCTTAGCGAGAGTTTCTATATTAATCTTAGATCTTCATCCTTAATGTGTAATAGTTACAAAACAGCTGTAGCAGCTAAATAAATAAGTTAAATATTAAGCTCTTAGTCCAGACTCATGTCCTCGTCGTCGTCCTTCTTGTCCTTGGAGTCTCCGTCCTGGTCCGACTTTGTCTCCGTCTCCATGGCTTTGGCAAAGGCTTCGACGTCTGCAGAGAGAGAGAAGTGCTCATGAATAACTGCTGTGAGAACTGATGGTTTTATTATTAACACAGTCTAAAAGTATACTCCGGGTCAGAGTAGAGTATCTACTAAAAAAGGTCACGGTAAAATGACGTAGTGTGTCGTGAAAAAACCCAGAAGATTAGTAGAAATGAGAAAAAGTCATATAATCGTAATGTGTTATAACGCTTTGTGCAGAATGCTTTTGCAACACTATGTTTGAAATGTGGTCAGGCCAATAAAGACCCTTTGTGTTGTGTAGTGTTTAAAAAGTGACAGGACTTCCAGTATGTTGAAAAATATAATGTGGAAGTTGAATGTGAGACTTTGAATTGTATTGTAATGTTATATTTACACTATACTACTGTTTTATAGACCTGTACTTTAATCTGTTTTATGTACATACATTTACATACACATGCTAACGATACTGTTTTTGACATATAGTGCAGTAACTATGCTGCGAAGCTGTTCTCGATTCAAGTCACCTCCTTTGTTGGCGGCGTCCACGGCTTCTGCAGGGAGACCAAACTGATTCATCAGAGGACCTAACTGACCTGAGGCCAGCGCACTGCTGAACATACTCATCGCCTACACACACACACACACACACACACACACACACACACACACACACACACACACACACACACACACACACACACACACACACACACACACACACACACACACACACACACACACACACACACACACACACACACACACACACACACACACACACACACACACACAAAAGGTAGAAGTATTTTATATACAAACGTCCGTATCTCTCATAAACATGGCGGTGTTAAATGAACATGAGGAAGCAACATGTTCACACTGAACCAATCAGGTGTATTGAGGATGATATTGATACCTGCTGGAACTGAGGCGAGCTGAGAGTGTTGTTCAGCTCCTCGCTGCTCTGAGGGAGAGACTCTCCGGAGGGGAGGAAGGGAGAGAGACGCTGCTGCACCTCGGGGTGAGACAGGATGGGAGCCATGACCTCCGGGGTGAGCACGCTGGACAGATCCACTGCAGAAACCACATCTGTGCTTTAGCAAAGGTACAAGTACTCAGATCTGTGCATAGGTAAAGGTACAAGTACTCAGATCTGTGCTTTAGCAAAGGTACAAGTACTCAGATCTGTGCTTTAGTAAAGGTACAAGTACTCAGATCTGTGCTTTAGCAAAGGTACAAGTACTTAGATCTGTGCTTTAGTAAAGGTACAAGTACTCAGATCTGTGCTTTAGCAAAGGTACAAGTACTTAGATCTGTGCTTTAGTAAAGGTACAAGTACTCAGATCTGTGCTTTAGCAAAGGTACAAGTACTCACATTCATTAGCTAACAATGACATTATTGTTCTATTAATATAAAGGGAGGTCAGGTACTCTTTAAAACAGCTGCTAGCTATGGGTACTCTTTACTGAAGTACATTTCAAAGCCTCTTGACTTTTACTTGAGTAAAGAAGTTTAGTCAGTACTTCTACTTTCACCAGAGTATTTTTAAACACGAGTATCTGTACTTCTACTTGAGTAAAGGATGTGTGTACTTTTGCCATCTCTGGCTACTTCCTCTCAGTACTTCTGGTGTACTCTCTCCCCCCCCTGCATCAAAATGTACTTAGTTACTTCCTCTCAGTACTTCTGGTGTACTCTCTCCCCCCCTGCATTAAAATGTACTTAGTTACTTCCTCTCAGTACTTCTGGTGTACTCTCTCCCCCCCCTGCATCAAAATGTACTTAGTTACTTCCTCTCAGTACTTCTGGTGTACTCTCTCCCCCCCCTGCATCAAAATGTACTTAGTTACTTCCTCTCAGTACTTCTGGTGTACTCGCTCACCTCCCTGCCCCCCCGAGGGGACGTTCATGGTGGCCAGGATGCTCTGCAGGTCCCTCAGCTGGATGGGCTGCGAGGCGTTGGGGGTCCCGGCGGCGGTAGCGGGGGAGGACGCGGGGGGGGAGGAGGCGGTGGGGGAGGTGACGGAGGTGTTGGTGGGGGTGACGGGAGTGATGGGGGTGGTGGGAACCTGGGCGGAGCCGAGGCGGCTGGAGGCTGAGGAGGAGGTGGGGGTGACAGCTGTGGACGGGCTGAGAGGAGAGAGAGGAACATATCAGTGGGTCATTTTATATATATATATTATTTTTTATTTATCTATGTAATCTTGTATTTCTACTATAATTACATTTTTTTTTTAAATGTATTTACTTTTTTTATTCACCAATGTATTATTTTTGTATTTGTAGTAATTATTATAATTGTGTTCTATCATTATTATTTCTATTATTGTAATTTGTATGGCTTCATCTGATGTTTTTCATGATTCTTGCAACTGTTTTTACTTCAACATCACGGTACATTTTTTATTTACTTTTATTATTCTCCTGTGTATTATCTGCATCAAATACTGCCATGACATTATAAATAAATATATAATATCCACTGAATAAAATGTTTAACAAACGTCTGTTAGGATTTTTAACTTCCACAAACTTCAACTAAATAAAATAACTCAAATTATAAAAATGTTCTCTATTTTCTCACTTTTCTTCATTTTATTTGGCATTTAATTATTTTTGTGCAAAACTAGCATGTATTTTCCCCCATAAGGTAATATGGGGAAATGTCTCCCTTTGGTGGAGAAGAGTCGCAGGTTCATTTCTAAAGACAGGGCCCTGAAGTACTTTATTGATCCCAATTTGGGACATGTTTGTGTTGCAGCAGCATATTATTATGTATTTGTACAATACAAATTAAAATACAAGAAAGTAGAAAAAATACATGTTGAATTTACAAATGAACAATAACAAGATATAAAGCAAGTCTATTATACAGGGATGGATTTTATAAAAATGGGTCTCGAATGGAACATGTTTTATTCGGCTAAACGCTTATTATGGACTTTTGATAGGAGCTGAGGTCACACTTTCATAATTAAATCAAAACCGTGTACGTTAAAAAAAGTCATCTTAAATAATATGCCACCAAGTAGTCCACACACACCGTCAGCAGCTGTAAATGTAGTGTTATAAAAAGATGTATATTTAAAGTGACCTGGTGGAGGAGTTGCTGGCTGCAGGGACGCTGCTGGAGCTGCTGCTGCCCAGCAGGTTAGCCAATCCTGGGCCAGCGAGGGCCCCGAGGCCCCCTGAGGGCGAAACACCACGTTATCATCTGAGAGAAACTAATATAAATAACATTCATGACATACTGTCAGAGCCAGTATTTTGATTTTATAAGAAAGGCCACCTAATCGTGACGTCTGTAGTCAACCAGAGTATAAAAGACTACAATTCCCACGGCGCCTCCTTTAAAGTGACAGATGGGAAACCTGTCAGGAAGACGCCGTCGAGGAACAGCTTTTAACCGTTTTAAGTTATGAAGTGATATAAGCCTTATCAGAGAAACAATACCTAAGTTGTTTGTTATTTGATTTGCCTCTTTGTTTTGACTCTTATAAAGGCCTCTTTTCTTTGACTGTGTAAAAGTTTGTTATTTTATTTTGAGCAAACACATCTCTCGTCTCTTCAACTGTAAGTAACATAAAGGAAAGAAAACGAGGTGTAAAATGTCTGTTTAAAGCGTCTAGTGGCTTGATAGATAAACAAGGAAGGACGCCACAGATACACTCTGAGTTTCTCCTCCGTACCGATCCCGCCCAGTCCGGTCGGTCCGATGAGCTGCATCAGCTGGTTGTGGCTCATATTACCCAGAAGGCTTTGCAGGCCGCCCTCACCTGCACGGGAGAACAAGAAAATCCAGCATGACAATTAAAATAATGTATAAAGAAAGCGTAATTAGACAGTATGAAGTGGACTTGTGATTGTGTTCGGGTTTTATGTTTCAGTATGTGACATAATAATGCTTTTATTTGACTTTTTTATGGTTATTTCATTTATTTATTTTTAAGAAGGGGCTGGTAAAATAAGATTAACTTCTCCCTGCTCCTTTCCACCATGCACACAACTGAACAAACAACCAGTTTAAGTGTACATGTTTTGTTAGGGTCAGGGTTATCTCTGTCAATTTGTCAAGGAACCAATAATCAGCGTTCCTTCACATTCTACATTTCCTAAAAACCTTTTTCCAGACTCAAATTTCCAACTTTTTCGGAGATTTTTCAGACCATGTTTGCTGCCGGTACAAAAACGAGATGTATATTAAGTAAAAAGATGGATTTATGTTAGTTTATTTATGCTCTGAGGACGACAGCTCACCATAGATTTGATACAAGCTCACTCTAAAAACAACTCAAAGCAGATCCGTGTTTCCGAACTTATTGAGATCTGGAAATGAATACAAATTAAATTGCATCCTTTCTGTTAGAAAGATCTCACTGGTCCCCGGCTTGAGCTTCAACCTCAGGATCCATGTATCTGTGATCCTCTCCAGAATGGAAGTAGTCATCACATACAGAGCATCAACTAGTTCCTGAACAGTGTCCTTCACATGCTGATATCCAGGAGAGGGAGTTACACAGTCACAAGATGGAGGAATGCCGGTTCTTCTAGGTAATCATACATCCTGTCATGTTCACAGCTACAGTTGGGATACCTTTGTTATCATGTGACTCTGAGATTGGAAGAGTACATTCAGTATTTTCCCAACACTTTATATGATTCATGTGATGGTGTTTTACCTCCCAGGGCAGAGAGGTCGTGCCCCCCGCCTCCCCCGCTACCCAGAGCGCCCGGCATGGGGGGGTTGTTCAGAAACTCGTTCACCTTCCTGCAGTGCTCCTCGTCTTTCTCACTCTTTGGCTCCTGAGCATCAGACAGAAACACAAAACTCAGAAAATCAACTTAAAAAATCACCATGTGTAAAGAGTATCTGAAAGTGTGTGTGTGAGAGAGAGAGAG